TGAAACCTTATAAAAGCTGGTAAAGCTTATCATTCTAAACCGAAACTTGAGACATCCTGTAGAAATAGGAAAAACCATAAAACCAAACTAACATGGATTTCCCTGGCCACATTTACAGCGCCTTCTGCTTATTTGTAATTGAAAAAAATTTCCTATCGAAGCGACTCTGTCTCTTAATCAACTCACTACTGGTAGAAAACTGTTCACTCGTTTCCTTTTCAGGCCTTGGATACTCAGAGCTCGCGGTTTGTTCGAGAGATCGGAGAATCCTATAATGAAAAAAACTGCTCAGCAATACTATCCTCTAGCGTATAGGGTAAAATCTAATGAGTGTATAACATGAAAGCATTAAGTTCACAAGTATGACTAAAATCCTCCTAACGGTTCACTGCCTCATCGTGGCTGAAAGGTGTTCCTGGGTGTCGGACTGCGATGTACAGGGGGGGGATTCGTTCCCCTGGCAGGGTCTCCCAAGCTCAGAAGGAGTCCGGCGCTTCTATCAGGAAGCCTAGCTAAAACTAAACCAACACCAGGATCCACCACCATCCTAGTATCAAAGCCGCACGTTGGCAAATCTCGCTCTGATCCATAAGGGCTACGATTGCCTGTGGTAGTGAAGACCTGGGACAGACCTTGGCCAGGCTAACCTCGGCATTCCAGGGAACCAAAATGGTTTAATCAGCAAATCTCCGAAAAATGGTGATTATGCTGGGGCCCGCACAACCAGTGAGGACGAACCATTCAAGTATCAAGTGAGTATAATTATGACTACAATGAGGTTCCAAATCCAACGAACTTTGGCTTTACATGAAGCGGTGGTTTTAAGCGTCCCACGTGCATCACTAATTGGTTTCCCAGATAATGATAAATGGAAAGCATTTGGCACATTACCGGATGAGGCAATAATGAAACATTTAGAAGAACTTCTACTATGGCTCACAAAAATAAGAAGGATAAAAGGATAAAGCTCTCGGCGTTGATCAAACCTTAATGAGGAATGCGCCATGCATTCGAATTCATTAAGCATCGTTGGAGGTGATCGAATGCATATTTGGCTTTTACAATGACTCGCGGAAGCCTACCGATGTAACGATCCAGTGCTGCTATCCTCCCAGACAAGTCTGGTACTAATTTGCCGACTCCGGAGGGATGGAAGGCCTGGTGGGCCATGGGCGCGGGGATCGATTACACGTGCGTATCCCAGTGGCGCCTCCAACTACTGCACCACACACCCTCACAAACATAACCAAGACACAAATACAAAAGCGAAATTACTCACATCAGAAGCCACATGAAGACGCCCTCCTGGTCTCACGCGGAGGCGACGGCAGAACTCTGGTGCTCAGAATAATGAAGAATCAAGAGTTGTCCAAACAGAACCCAAGCGACTATAAGCATCAGCTGGAATGTTAAGACATGTTGATTTTAAAACTAAAAGGAATGTACGATAATCACAACTCACAGTGCTCTGTATCCTAGGAAGGCGAGTAGTTTGGATGTTTTCCGACGGCTGTCAAACACCTGCACAGCATGACCACACACGATAACCGCAATCGTCCCTAACGCTGTGTTTCTGGAAACCAGACGAGCTTTTGCACAACCTTATTCGATAAACGACAATCGCCTCATAAAAATACAGCACCTTAAGTGAATTCGGGGGTTTGGACGCCGTTTAGAAGCGTTCGAACATGTTTGATAGGACTTCCAGGAAGCAATGCTTTCCTTACATTTCGGTGAAATCGGCGACAAACAGTTATAAAAAAACAAACTTGAGCGCTGTGCCTATTGTAGACATCATTAACATGTCAAACATTAAGAGAGAATCATTTGTACGATGAGAGGAATCCTAACCTGTTACAAAAACTTATGCTACCAAGCTGAGGAAAAACAGCAGGAATATGGCAGTTTGAACTAATGTATACCTTATTAGAAACCGGACTCTGTCATCAAGGGATGGCTGCTCGAGTGCGATGAGCTCTGGTCGGAAAAAGAACTGAAAGTGGCCATGGACAGTAATGACCTCGAGAAAGCTACACCACATCGAGCCATTCGAACTCAATAAAAAGCGAAGAATATGTTTATCGATCGTATGCATGGCAGTCTGAAAAGAGCACTTCTAACGTTTCTTTTTCCGACAGCAGCGATACCAACACATCCACAAAAGAATATGATGCTGAGATGTTGAACACGGACCCTCATCAACTTCTAATAACCGCAGTATTACATTGCACCGTGAGATTTGGTGTATAATGAGTAGCCACAGAATGCGCACCATATTGGCGACATCCTTCACCACATGGGTTGCTTGCTGTCTACCACACTGAATTGGATCAGAAAGACGGTCAGTGTGGTGTGGAATGTTTGCATGTGATAAGACGGGTGCTAAGTGGCTGTCCTGAATTTCTCCATAATTTCTCGTTGAGGACGACGAAAACTCAGAAATTGAGATATCGAACAACTCTCTCGAGAGCCTAGACGGCACAGCTCGGCATAAACTTCTGTGTATGTATGTCTGTGTGGATGTTCGTGTGTATATGTACGTATGTGCATTTGTATGTGTATGTGTGTGTATGTGTGAGTGTGTGTGCGTGTGTGTGTGTGTATGTGTGTATGTGTGTACTGGGACTCGACTGATATGTGACGAAAGTTCACCTAAGTATATAAGTAGATACTGATTGGATTCGCTGATTTATGTTGACCATCGAAATGCATTTCGAAGGATGCGCTCGCTGTAATAAATTTGGTGACATCATTGAGAAGAGGTAATGAGGAAGATAGGAAGAGATCGAAGAATGAAAGAGAGAGGGACAGACAGAGAAAGAGAGAGAACTGTGAGATCGAATCGAATACGGCCTTTGGATAGCAGAACTTAGTAACTCAGACTGAGAGAATGAATGTAGTTACAGAAAATGCACTTGAAAAAACAATCCAATAATAAAGAATAATGCGTATCAGGTATCAAGTCAGCGCTTTTAATATTCCATGTCTAGTAGGGACTCGCTAACGCCAGGGCATGGAGGACTTTAATATTCCATGTCTAGTAGGGACTCGCTAACGCCAGGGCATGGAGGACTTATATTGGCGAAAAACTAGAAATTATATAGCTTTTCCTTATATGTGTTCAGCTAAAGAGAACTTACGGTCTTCTCTAGAGTGTCAGTGTAAGTTTGGTAATCGAAACTTTATACAGATAGTAAATCAACACAGCAAATCACAATGATCTGAGATACTTGCAAAGCTCACAACACCCAACTATTAATATAAGAAACTGGGGAGAAAAAGGGGGGATAAGGGCCACACTAGTGCTGTGGGTAACACAACAACGCTCGAAACCGTAATCGCGTGTTTGAATTTTCACTGGATTCTGAGTTTTGCAAATGTCTCAGCATTGCTGCGGTCGAATTTCACATAACACCCTGTCTAAAAAATAGCAGGCAGTAAATTAGAAGTTGTACAATACAACAAGTGGTTGGTGGGTGAAGAAAGATTGCACACTTACTTGGATACTTGGACGACCCGTCCTTACTGGTTGTGCGTGCCACAGCACATGCCCCATTTTTCTGAGTTTTGTTGGTTTAGCCATGGTGTTTCTGGAGTCTCGAGGTCAGCCTGGCCAAAGTTTTCCCTGAAGAGAGGGTACGTAAGGATGAATAACATCTTCTTTTGATGGTATATGGACGTTAACGGGCAGTCACTGCGTGGTCCCGTAGGAGCGAGAAAGAGGAAAGAACACGAAGCCTTTAAGAAGACAGTGACACTTTTAGACATTGACTTCCTGAGGGCTCTTGAATTAAGTGCAGCATCGGAATACTATCGAGTACCACTGGTGTTCCATAGTGAGCTTGCAGATAACTTACTGGCGGCAGAGTGATCTGATACATTCACAGAAAGGACGACAACGTCGAACGACTCCATTACCGACTCGTTGTTGAGAGTCACGATACGCAGACGACCCGGCGACATTTGGGTGTTCGTGAGATTGGCTTGGATCTTATTACGTTATGAGATATGGGTCTGGATCTTCTTACGTTATGAAAGTGTTCGTCAGAGTATACTGTGCGCCTGTTTAACTTGAGCGGCTCTCAAAAAGGCAAAAACGTCAAAATGTCAGCTACTATTAAATAAATCTTGTTATTGAACAGCTCTTGCAGCAGATAACGCAGTGGTATCGACACCGCCCATCACTACCACGGCGCTGGTTCGACCTCTCCAAGCGTCTCATCCTTCCAGGATAGAGAAATGGTTCAAGACTTGTCTGGGCAGGGTTAGTTGTATGCATTATAAATAGGAATGCTCTAGACTGACTTCAAGACTCTTGGAAGAATAAAGTTCGCCAGCAATAAACGACATTCATGACGAAAAGAAAGCGCTAAGCAGCAGTCGAAGCTACATGCAAAAACTTAGTAAACCTTCGTGGATGACGAATGTGAAGAAACTCACCGAATGAATCACGTGTGGGTTTCGCACAGCAGATTTAAAGGAATGGTCGTAGAAATAGATATTGAAACAATTTAACTACTTTGTGTCTGCATTAAAAGAAAGAAGGCAGAGAGGACAGAAAGACTTATTGAAGGCACTGGCTGATAAACGACTGTTTATTATAATGAATATTTAGCCCTGATTGATGAAGCTCAATGGGATCGTATAGACTTACAGCTGAGTTAAATCGGTTAAGTATTGTCCAGAAACTGCTTGCCAAACCCCAAGCCTACGAGAAATCAATGTGGCAGGAACAACACACGTTGTCAGACAACTTTCGTGATTTGCGTGTACTTTTTGATATATACCAACACAAAAATATTACCTCGGAATGATTTCTATGCTGCCTTACCAGTAGACCAGATAATTATCACCAAACAAATTCAGTGAAGTACAACTTATTTTTTAGCATTGTGAGTCACCATAGTAGGCAAAAATCGGTGGGTTTGAGAAATAGTACCGATAGAAAAAACATGTTTCCCAACTTTTGATTAAATTATAAGTTTACAATAAACCAGTGAATGGGTTGCGAACACGAGCAACTATGGCCGCCTGGTGATGCACAAACTCCAGAACTAGAGCTTCCAGGTGCAGGTCTACCACCTCCAACTCGTCCTCCACCACAGACATCGCCTCCACCACTGCCATCGCCTCCAACGCCGCCACCATCACAACAGCGTGAGGTTCAACGGCCTTCTAAAACACCACCGCCATGTGTCATTCAGAACTCACCCAGCAGGCATAGTCAAAAAATGTCCGAGGAAGAATCAAGCGAAGCAAGGTTAGTTGTGTACGTTATTGGAGTTTTGACAAATTGCTGAAGAAATTTTCGACGTATATATACATAAATATGCATATGTATATATATATACATATGCATGCATATATATATATACATATATATATACAATATGAGGGATCTCGAGCCGGTTAGTTGCGAGGCTACGTGGCGCCTCCCCAGGTGGCGGATAGGGGGCTAATCGCAGATCAAAAGCGACCATTGCTTCCCTGAGACGCAGGTGGGTCCAGGGATGGTCTCCCTGTTTCTCCTGCGCTGATTTGGCACATACTTTCTGTTCTTGCTAATCGCATTCATGCATGCGTGTGTGGATGCGTTCTTGCTTATGAGGATTGTATTCTACGAGTCAATTCGGCCAAAAGCCTTCAATCAACTGACTTGGAAGTATGTGGAAGGCGGTTAGGAGTTGCCAACAGCGAACAAGCTCCGCTCTGGGAGAGCCCGGCAAGCTACCCGTGAGTATGCCCAGCCCCTCACGTTCACAGCCCAGCAAGCTATACGCAGGTATCAAAAATGCTAAACACAGTAAAAGAAAAAAGCGGGCCTCATTCCCCTGACCCCGAAAGAGCCCCAATTTTGCAGCGTTGGGTAGGACTAGTGCGGAGAGGCTGCTAAAATCTCAGAACCAATGGAAGCTGCCTGGATTTCAAAGAACTATGGTGACGATCTGTACCTACAATGCACGAACGCTTGCATCCGAGTCCTCGATAGAAGACATGATCATGTAAGAAAGAAGAATATGATACGACGTCATCGACCTGGCCAAGGCGAGACGACGCCACCCACTCAACGCCGTCTATGACACTGGAGAAGAACTGTTCCTCGGAACATGCCACAGTAGAGGAGTCGGCGGCGTCGGCGTTCTCGTCAACACGAGTTTATCTAAGAACATCGATTCATTCGAACAACTCACAATCCGAATCGGTCGTTTACGATTAAAAAGACGTGGATCAATTCCGGCTTTGACAATCATCGTCGTTTACGCGCCGACATCAAACTATGACGAAGAAGAAGTTGTTGCGTTCTATATGGACTTGGAAAAGATCTGCAGAGAAGACCATTCATTCTTCAAAGTCATCACTGGAAATTTTACCGCTAAGATTGGACCTGGAAGAACGTTTGAAGAACGTCACATCGGGACCCACAGATTAGAATGAAATGAGAGATTGTCCAAGTTTATCATGGCGAACAAGACCACTCATTACAATTCGCATTTCCAAAAGGTCCAATCTCGACGCCAGATTTGGGATTTTCCCAATGGACAGTACCACAACGAAACCGAGCAAATGGCAAAAATTGAAGGCTTTGCCTAACCGATGTCGCTGTTGTGTCGAAATCATACACCTCTTTCCTGCAAGATATCACTTCTAGCGGAAAAGAAAAAAACTACTATATTAAGAAAACGAAGCCCGAAAACCACCATAAACTGAGACTTCTTTAATACATAATCCGGCTGCTGGAAAGATGCCGTTCTGGATAGCGTCGACGCAAAATACGGTCTGCTCATTCAACGTCTTCACGTTAGCGCAATGAAAGCCGAGAGTTCGTGGGTTACCAAGAGACATCCGACTCCAGGAACACTTGAGTTGATACTCACGTAACAACAGTTATGATCGAAACTACGGAGGTGAGAAGAAGCATTCGCAAAGCCCACCAAAGCGTTTCCAGTTACGGAAGCATAGAAGAAAAAGGGTTGTACTCCGAGGAGCAGTCGAAACAACTTTAGTTTTATGAAAGACAATGGAGAAAATCATTCAAGGTTACTACTCGGATCTCCTAAATAGGCACGTCCTACTGCTTTCTTATGAGGCGAACAGCATAGACGTGTCGTACCACAGGTTCTCCGACATGCTATTTCATCGGTGAAAAATCGACCAGCACCAGGTCCGGACAGGATAAGATTTGAGCACCTGAAGAATCTTCTGTCAGTCCTCGTATACACGCCGAATCGACTTTTCGCACGTCACCTGTCTGAATGCCAGGCCACTATTCAGTAGAGGACCAGTAAGACCGTGCTATTTTCCAAAAATGGTGACCTCCACAGTATCGACATCTATCGCCCTAACTGCTTGCTGTCTACCGTCTACAAAGTTTTCACTCGAGTCGCCTTAAACACGATTGGTAGAACACTAGGCGAATGACAGCAATGTGAGTGAGCAAGCAGGGTTTCGAAAACAATTCAGTGCTATGGACCAAATTAACGCGATGACAACGCTGCTTGAAATATCACGAGAATGTGAAACACCGCGATCTCTAGCTTTCATCAATTTGAAGACGGCCTTTTATTTAGTTGGGATAGAAGCAGTGAAGGAAGCTCTGGGCAGTCATGCAGCCCCTATTCAGTATATAAAGAATCTTCGTGAGCTGTACAAAAATTTTACAACCAAGTTGTAACCACTTCATAACGATATTAACATTAACGTCAAAAGAGAGGTTAAGCAGTTCGATACCATCCCGCAAAATTTTTTTTTACCTCCACCCTCGAAAACGTCATGCCAACGCCGGATTGGGACGTGGGAATGGGAATGAAATTAGATAATCGGCAGCAGCACCAACTTCGCTTTGCTCATGAAACTGTTCTTATAGGGCTAAACATTAGCCAGTTAGAACGAAGCCTTGCCAACTTAGACATTGTCTGTAGAAAAATTGCTCCTCGACTGAATCTCATAAAACATATGTTCATGAGCAACAGATTGGTTACGTATTCCCTATTCGCGTACAAAGGAATAAATATCTCTGAATTCTTTAGTTACTTCTATCTAGATCAGAAAATTAACATGATAAACGATTTTGCTTCAGTGTTGAGCAAGAGAATGAGATCAGCTTGGGAAGGTTTCAAAAGCATCGAGAGCTTGGTGAAAGGAAAAAAGAAATGAATCGTGGGGTCGAAATGGAAGGTAACTCGGCTCCATACCTTCCATTTCGACCCCACGATTCATTCTACTTTAATGTGCTTTAATTTAACTTTAATGTACTTTAATGTTTAATGTGAACGGAATAAAAGATTTTCCAGCGTTATAGAACTTGCAGTCATAAGGACGATGCTAGCGTATCCCGTATCACGCAATTGACAAAGGCGATCGGTTGTTCCGTGCTACAGCTGTACAAAATGAAACACGCTCTATACGACAAACTGTCGAAGATAAGGTGAATCGTGGACTAATGCTTATAAACGACAGCAAATGGACGAGATTAGTTAGTAGCTAGATTTCTCGGATTGTCTAACGTGCTGTAGGGAGACCACCGACCCGATGGTAAGAGTTTTTCACGGAAGCCTTAGAAGAAAGATTGTGTGTTCAACGATTCTCCAGTCTACTTCAGCTGTTACAATCTTAGTAAGCCTCGCTACTCTGAGTTCGAATTATTCAATGAGAAACTCCGATGAAGTGCTGTAAATAATACGTCTTTGCATGTTGCATCATTTAATCACCATAATGCTTCACGTATCTATTTCAGCAACTTTTTCTTTGGTCGTACGCATAGGAGTGGAGCATTCTACCACTAAGCTACTGCTTTGCCAGATCACATATTTGGCACAGGTAATAATTGATATATTAAACTGCTCAGTGATAAGTCTTTGAAGAAAAATATTCTGCCACGAGAGCAGCCCACGAGAGGTGCAAGTAGCACCAACGAACTTGAATTCAGATAGTTTTGGGCGGAGCACAGTGTCGTTCTTCGGTAGTACGGTCATTTTCGTCCGATATTTTTGCAGGTAGTTTTGGTGCAACGCTAGTAAAATCGAGACTGAATTACCTCTTGATTTAATGTTTAACTTTTAGTTTCTTTCTTTTATTTTTCCACAGCGCGTTGTTATGGGTATCTCTGATACATACGACATTTCTCGATCAATTCTGGGATCTGATACCAATTATTCAGCATGGTTTTCGTGTAAAAGACTGGCCACGGCATAGGCTGAATGGTAGTGGCCTGAAAAACATAGGCTTCAACGCGTTGTTTAAGGTAACTTCTTTGTCTAAAGCCTTATCAGTTTTATTTTTCAACTACAGCATTGCTGTTTGAGAAATAGAGGAGCTTCCCACACTATGTGAACTGTGTGGACTGTGTCATACACATTTCGTTACTCTGTCTTTCTACTAGTTATATGATGCTTAATATTATATATGTGTATACATATATATCTATATATTTATATATATATTTACAGTTTTCGTTTAAACAAGATACGCATATACATATATAAAGCATATATATAGATCATTACCGTGCTAGAAAGTGGACCATTTCTGTTGGCCACATCTTGATTCACGTGCCAGGAATTCTACAAGATTTCATAGATTTCCGTCGTCATTATTCTACTGTAATGGTTTCGCCATGATTAAAAAAACTATAATGGATGATTCCATCCCCATACCAAAAAGCCGTAGCCATAACTAGGCATAACCTTCTTCTTGAGCAAATCACGCTTTAGAAAGCATATAGAAGCACTATTTTGGTCCAGACATTGCAATGCTAAAGTCGACTGTCGGATACAGCCCTCGCTAGAGCAATTTTTATCAAGTTTTTAAAAATGTTTTCCATTGATAAACTGGCACAAAAAAGGTTTATTCGGATAGTTCTTCGGCGTCTTCGTCTTCGTCAAAGCAGGATTGATCCGAGTCGATTATCCATGGATGTTCTTCCATCCCAGCTGAGTCTTCGTGAACGAGTCGAGTCCAATCCAGTGAGAGTATCGCCAAAATGAAGTAACTTCTTTCTACAGTGCTCTTTCTTGAAAGACGGTTGCTGATGCTTACTGTCTGCTATATGCTAATGCAAATGTTTGAATTGTTGACAGTTAGTGCTTCTTTAACATCTCAAGCAAGGGAATTCGAGGGTTGCGCAAGTTCCTCTGTAAAAGTTATGGTATTTGTTCACACGTGTGGATGTGTTAACGTATGTGTTGTATCCTGCATGCGCCAAAACTATGCAATTAAGCCACTGTAAAGTACATGGCATATGTTTCTTATAGTTACTTTAGACTATAGCATGCTGATGGTTAGTGTCACCTATTGAAAGGCA